TTTCATTGTATCTCTTTTACTTGTTTTTATGTATCCTGCATTTCTTGCCTTGCTTCTCCATTGCTGAACTTTATTTCTGCTCTTACTTCTCAGCTTCCTGGCTGCTTACATGCCAGTTTAGCAAAGATGCCCTTTCCCAGGAAAAAAAAAAAAAAAGCTTTGATCTTAATTTTGTTGGTTTTTGAACCCAAACCAGGTCTTACTTGCGATATAACCGCTTACCTGCTTTGTTCTCTTCTCCTGAGAGAGAAACATTGATAGCCATCTCCCGTGGAGCTTTTGAACATATTCAGGTTATCTTTCACTTCTGGAGGAGAAGAAAGTAAATCTTCAGCTACCGATTTTATGCAAATGTTGTTTGACACATGTCTATTTCTAAAAGGATCTTTGCTATACAGTCTCACTCCCTCTTTGAAAACTTCTAGGACCCCTGCCTGGGTATCCCTCCAGCAGCCCTGTTAAAGGGTGGTTCAGGACAAAGGAAATAGCTGGAAGGTGTATTTATTTCCAATACCAGTGAAATAAGTAAGGTAGACTGAACTAGCGTGCTGAAAGAATTTCATTTTATGATCTGTTGTAACAGAAAGCAGCTTTGGAAGAGGATGCTCAAGACTATAGCAGAGAAAATTAAATGAAACTATTTTTTACATATAGTGGTCTACAAAATGAAACAAATTCAGTAAGTGTAGCCACTATTGTTTTCAGTTAGTATTACACTGGAGTAAAAAACCTGAAACCCTGCATCAGTCCCATAATAAAAGTAGTATAATGTGCAGAGATATTCAAAAAGTGATTGCGTTATTCAGTATGCTCATAAAGGTAGGTATTGTGAAGCTAATACAATATTACCGCATATTGTGTCATCTAAGAGACTCGAAGTGCTCACATAAGTCTTTACCTTTGATTTGTCCTTCCAAGCACACTGTTATCACGTATCCATGAAAATAACAGAAAAGATGAATACTGTAAAAAAAAAAATCAGTTTCTAAAAGATGCTTTATTTTCAATTACTGTTTGGGGCATGGAACTTTACTGGTTTGAAGAGTCTTCCATAATATCATATTCAACTTTGGCAGTTAACAATTTCAGGCAGTTAGTTATAATAGAAACAATAAACCTGAGAAACAACATCGTTCTGGAATAAAAGTTTAGGAATAGCTTCTGTTGATTTCTTTGTGATCTTAGGAAAGTTGCTTTCAGCCTCAGTTTATGCATCTGTGAAATGGGTTTTTACTGTTAATCTCACTAGGATGGGATTATATTACTGCTTGTGAAGGGGTTTCATAGTCTCTGCCGTATAATACATTCTAAGTGGCAGGGTGTTGCTCTTGGGCTAGAAAGTAGACATACTTAGCACATACCTCAGTAAAATTTACAACTTATGAAATTCTCTTCTAATGCTGAAAATATTTCCTTTCTTCCTCCCTGCTAGACAACTGTATACAACACAAAAAATATTTGTCATATTATTTTATCAGGCATTATTGAACTATAAAAAATGATCTTGTCATCTCAAACTTCTTAACAGATTATGAAAGAAAAATGACTAAGACTTGTTCAGTCTGTCAAGTTCTTGCCAAAAAGAAGCTAATGAATCACACTGGCACTGGTAAATAGCCAAAACCAGATGATATGGATGTTATAAATAGTGTTAGGGACCATGTTGCCAAGTATATATACACATATCTATAAAAGTGCTGTTTTTTATTTCCATGAAGTTTTTCATGAAACCCTAACCAGCATAGTAGTATGACACTCCTGTTTTTATTTCAATTCTTATTTTAACAACATAAATATAAATTGAAGCCCTAGAAGCATGAATCATGCCTCCTGCTTATTGCTTTTGGTACACACACTAGACAGAATGAGCCTGGTGTCTGAGAAATAACTGAAACTTGGATTATATTATTGTGGAGATTGAGTAAAAAGAGTTGAGAAGAAACTGTTTAGTTCTAGCGTGCACTTTCTACCCAGCGGGATCCCAGGTATTGCACTACATGTACTCTGATCTGAAGTGTGTCCGCTTCTATCTTTTTTCTTTTTTAAACCGTGAATGAGCAGCTACTTAGACTTAGTGTCATTAACAAATAGTAAACTCCGCTTTTCTGCTATAGGATCCTGTGTTCATAAGTGTGGTAATTTTCTTCTTGCAACTGTCATCTAGACTAGTCATGTACTATAGTGGATCAAATAAAATGTTACAAAAGCTAATATATGGTGCAAGTCCTCCAGCTAAGAAACTGTTTAAAATATGTCTTATTGTTTACTCCTCACTGAATGAGTATAAAAATGTTTATAACTGAATATACATTTTTAACTTAAATGTCAGCAACATCAAAATATCTACATTGAATTAGCTAGAAAAATATAAAGATTTATTGAGATTTATACAGAGGAAGTTTCGAAGTTAGAGAAATATTTCTTTTGTTAAGAGACTATTTGCATTCATGAGAACTGAAAATTAAGAAGGAAGAAGATTTGTTTCTGTGCAGACTTGCTAATTAATGTTGGTTTAGCTCTCCCAAATGGTAGGATGTGTAAGTATTTAAAATGTTGATGCACACAAATTTTGAGACAAATTAGGGTCTGGCATTCATCCCTGTGTATAGCTTCATACTTCTCTGTCATGTGCTAATGTCATGTAGAATTTCTGGACTCTCCAATGCTACATTTTAAGTTTTATCAGAGGAAAGATAACAAAATCCATTTATCTGCAGAAAGGGACATTTTACAAGAAGCACTTGCTGACAAATAGCACCTGTATTTTTTTTTTCTTAAGCAGGAAAAGGAGGGAGGAACTTAAGGGAAACCAATTACTTTTAGAGGTGCCCTTTAGAATACTCTTGGCCACTGGGCAGACTGCCTTACTTGGTACTTAAGAAGGCTAAAATTATGATAAGTAGGTGCTTTGTTGTTTGTCCATATTTTTTTCAGTGAAATTTATAGAGCCACTAAAATTCCAATTTGCAATAGTCTTTCCCTCAGAGAATGCACGTTGTTGGATCTCATGCCTTTAACAAAAATTACAGGGGAACTGAATCTTTAACACAAGCTTCCTTTGTACAAGTGAGTAAGTAGACATTGTATTTACATTTGGCTGAATTTTTTTTCCAAAACAATTACAACAGATTCCTTGATTCCTTTCTGCTGTAAAAATTCCTGTCTCTTCTTGCACTGTTCTAGGTAGTGCAGGTACTTTCTGGCTGAGCAACACAGACAGAAAAATCTTTTCTGTTTTTGTTTTCAAACATTATTTTCTTACATAAGAAAAGAAAAAAAGGCGACACTTTTTTCTTTCCTCCTGTAGTACAGTGTATTTAAAGAGAAGGAATATAAAAATCAGATGGCATCCTAATGAAGGCCAAGAAATCTAGCCACACAATAGGAATTCTTCTCAGGGCAGAGGCTCTTTAGAACAGCTTCCTGTGAGAAGCAAAGCAAGCTGATTACAATGTCTTCAAGTTCAAAACATATCTGCACAAAATAAAAGAAATATAAAACAGTATTCAGCAAATCAGGAAGACAGAATATATGGAACTCAGGTAGTGGCATCATACAGGGCAGTATTGCTGCCTGCTGTTGTGGGCACTAATATAGTGGAATAAGACTTTAGATTCCCCTTTAACTATCTGCAATATTTAAATTCTGATTTGCAATAAATAACGTGGCTAATCCACACTCCTCATTGCTTTATGATTATCACTTGCACTGCGCATCTTAGCTGCTCTTAACACTTACGAGGCCCTGATATATAGCTAAACATTTCTGACTCCATCTGGTACAAAGAGAAGTGACACAAAAGTGCTCCCCAGCCAGTTTATTGCAATTTAATGTAAATCTGTTATAATGCAGCTGATGGAAAGTGCAGTGGCTTCCATGAATTCTGAAAGCTGTGACTGGGTTGCGGCTGCTGTGCTGCCCTGTGAAGATCTGCTGGGTTTAATTTTACATTGCACAGCCATTAGCTGACTGAGATTCCTCACTGAATTGCAGTGCCACAATACTTCTCCTCTTCACCATCCTCTTCGCTTTCTCCTCCCAGTGACCTCATTCACTTAGGTTTTCCATCTCACTCTGTCGTTGCTTTTATCTTCTAAATTGCAACCTCTTAATACATCAAAACAGATAGAGCCATGCAATTGACCCCCATAACGTATTATTTTGTTAACTCTTTTGTGGGGGAATACAGTAATATCCCTTCAAATTTGCTGTGTGCCCTTTGTGATTCTCGCTGTTTTCTGTGTCCAGAAGCTGAACCGAAGCATGGCAGCAGTGCCTACAGGCCTTGTGTATGGGCACACAGGCCTTGTGTGCTCGTGTTCAGTAAAACTTTGTCTACATCTTTTGCCAGTACGTTAACTGTGTAAATATTGCTGTTTCTTCTGCTCAACATTTTGAATTTTAGTTTCTGCAGATTGTCAAATAAACCTCCAGGCAAAGAACAGACTCATCTTTCACGGTTGCAATCAGAGCTCACCTTTCACCCGCTGTCACCATTGCAGCATGTGCAATCTTATTGCCATCATGTACAAAAGCTGCTTAAATGTGTACTCGGCTGGTTCCTGTTGGTTGGGGGTATTTGTAGACAGGAATTGGGGTGACTGGATTCTGCCATTCAGAATTAAGTGTTTGTATATAATTATATACAGGCCCTCAGGCAACTAATTTCCCCCCCCCCGCCCCGTTTTATGTATCTATTTCTGTTTAGAAGGATAGAATAACATTCAGTAGGGTGATTAAACTGTGGAAAATTAGGTAAAGCTAGAATGTAATTAAAGTACAGTCAAAACACCTGTAAATGATCATTGTTCCATTCCCTCGGGGGAAATTTTAAAATAACCTTTACGATGGAGTATCATACCTAGAATCTTTACATATGCCAAATAACATGCTTGGTTCTTAACTAACTTGTCTAGAAGTAATTGAGTGCAGTACTTAAAAATAGCTAAAAATGAGGGAAACATCGTATTTCATATAAGTTTTTTTTTTTTCTCCTGCAGACTGGGCGGTTACCCAGCGAAAAAGTTGATATTGTTCTGTGGTTACATTAGCCACTCCAACCAACTGGTTAGGTTAGAGGTGGAAAGCAAAGGTTAATTAGATACAGGCTTCAGAACTGTTAGTTATTAACAATGGAGGTCATCTTGTCGAAGATAATAATGCCCCACTTTGTAAATTTGTGAACCAGGAATACGGTGGAACATCGTGCTGACTTCACATTTATACTACAGTATTTAAGGTTAGAGTACGAGTTCTGTTGCGCTGGAATGTTGTAAAATTAACACACTATAAATACAATCTGTAGTGAACGTCTTGTTCACAATAAACTTTGTGTGGTATGGCTGCGAATGGCATTTTTACTTTGTGTATTTGTCATGTGTCTAAAACACTGATGTTTTTGAATTGAGACTTTGGTGTGGATGTTTACATAAAAATCTTCACTCTGAACACTAAAATTTAAACCAGTTCTAAAAGAAAGTCTCAAAACCTCTGAAATGCAAATTTGTTGATATAAAATGATCCAGTCACCTGTCTCCTTGTACTCCTGCAGCAAGGTGACTACTCTAAAAATAATTTCACATGAAGCTTTCTAGAGTGTTTTTTCTCTCGTCCTACAATAGAAGATATGTATTTTTTATTAAAACCAATTCTGAATTTTAATATTTTATTTCCTTTCTTCTTTTCATTACAGAGGAAGTCCATCGTTGCTGTGAGTTTCATTGCAGCATTCCTCTGTCTGATCATCGTTCGTCTCACAAATGAAGTAACTTTCCCTTTGATCCTAAACTGCTTTGGACAAACCAGTGTCAAATGGATACCATTTTCTAACGGCCAAAGACAGCCTCTGAGAACTCATTATGGATATACAAATGTGAAAACACAAGAGGTAAGACCTGGTATCAAGAGCACAGCAAAACAGACCAGCAGACTTCTCTCTCTCTGATCCCGCTAGCTGCTTTTCTACCAACCTGCCCAGTGTAAAAACTAAAGCAAGCAATGTTTCTGCACAAAGTGTCTTTTAAATGTGTGCTACCGTTTAAATGACCATTGACTTTTTTTTTTCCTTTTTTTTAATTTCTGTCATGGCTGCAGCAGAGAGAGCAGTGAGCTGTCCTTAAAGTCATGCTTAGGTGCAGTAAAAACTGATATTTATACAAGCAAAAGATTTTTTCAGTTTAATCTCAAGCCTTCAGTTCCTTTAACTCACAAGGAAATTTTCTTGTGTGTGTTTGTAATGAAGTCCTAAAAATATTTAATTTTGCCTGGGATAACCAAGGAAAAAGTAGTATATTTGTGTTTGTGTGTGCATGGAAGAGGAAAAGGGAATGATTTGTGAAATGAAGATATGTGAATGTAGAAAACTTGTAGAGCTAGAGGTTTATTGGATTTTTCTCAAAATATTACATTAACACTTGGTAGCTATTTGAAAGCCAGGTATGTATTTTCGTTTGGTATTTTAAAATGTTTTGGGCTGTATCTGCTTTGCAAAAAACTTGTCGTGTGGTAAAAATACTTGTGTGATAAAATTGTATTTTATAGGGACTCCTGCTTTCAACTTAGTTGGCAAAATATCTAATGACATTGTTAGGTTTTGGTGGTAGTGGTGCTTTTTCCCCAGACTCTTTCTCTCTGCATACTGTTTATAACTCATGCAAACTTGCAAAATAAGCTAACATTAAAAAATTAACTTTCTCTAAAAGTTGTTTCTGAGCAGTTATGGCACTGTCAGTCATGAAATACCATCAGACTGCTACTAATTTTTCTTTCTAAAATTGCTATTACTGTATTCATGAATGAAATTAATTCACATAACAGCTTTATACTTTACCACTGCATAATATTCAGTCCTGTAAGTGTGTTGGATAAGTTAGATATTATTTCACCTTTAGAATGTTAAATATGAAAATCAGAATGAGAGAGGGTTATAGTTTTTGAGGTGGCTTCTTTTAAACTTCTGTATCTTTCAATTGTTGTGCATATAAGATGCAGCACTGGGTATACTGGAGGCCAAGTACGTTATCTACAGAGCAGAAAAAGGACAAGCACCCAAAAGGAAATATGTTTGAATCAGTGTATGAATCCTAGTCCCTGTGAAATGAATGGGACCTGCTGTTGAGTTCAAAAGGGCTAAGGCTCCATCCAGCATATCTTAAATACAGAAGGACCAAGAACCCGCTAAAAATGAGAGGGCAGTGTGTTCTGCCTGTCCCTGGTTGTTGCCACAGTGGCAAGCCTGGAATCTGAATGAGGTAGAGCTGCCATGGTCACTGGATCTTTATCAGTCTGAACTGATAACTGGAGAGGAGAGGAGCAGGCTAATCCATTTTTATTCACAATTGCCTTCATCAGAGGTTAGATGTAGCTTGTGGGAGCTTTAATTCATTCTTAAATTTGATAACACGCTTGGAAGTTCTAACAGTAAATGGAAATGAATGTCCTGAAAGTTAGTGACCAGTATCGATTAGTAAGACATTTGTCTCAATTTAGCTTAGGTCATGAAAGACTTCTTAAACCTAGTAATTTTAATTGTTTTCCCCCTTGTATTTGGAGATTACATTAATATTTGCTAATTAAAATGATAATGAAGAAACTGAACACGCCTTGCTAATTGTGAATGCACTATCTTCTGACTTAATTATTCCCTTTGCGAGGGAAGTTTTATTGTGCTGCCCATATGAAAAGCTTTTACACAGCTTGTGTTCCTAACTCACACTCAGCTTTCTCAGACTACAATTTTTACAACACAGATTGCTTTATAAATATGCATTTGTCTACTCTTTATATTAAAATAGCCAGCGATTCTTAATTGTTCACAGAGATTAAAACCACAGCTCTCTCCATTCTGTAAGTGCCAAATACTTTGAATTTCTGCTCATTTCATAGAACTGAGATATTATTTTCTATTTTTTATGCTGCTATGGTACGTAAGATAAGCAGAAGGTCCAGTGTGTGAGTACAGCTAATGCCCTAAATAAATGGGGCCAAGGTTTTTGCAAAATGGAATACATACCATCTCATCAATTGGCAGGGACCAAAAGATGAGGAAACTATGCCATAATGAATTATCAGAAAATTATGTGATGGAAGGAGAGATAGGAGGGAAGGCTTTTAAAGCCATGGTTTTGGCTTTCTCTTTTCTGTTGAGAGCATCTAGTAAACCTGCTGAATGTGTTCATAGTCTTCTAGGGTGCCCTTTGCAGCGTGTCAGCCCACTGGGACCTACGTGTCTCCTGCTGTGCAAAAGCACTCCCTCCTGTTCCTCAGCCACTTCCAACATCCTTCTCCTTTTCTTCACTTTTGTTCTCTGTGCTTGTTTACCTGTTCCTCTCAGGGTCTACTCTGAGGCCTGGCTGCACGCAGCATGCCAGGGCTCTCTGATCCCAACTTCTCAGCGTACTTAAATAGTACATATACAAGATCAACAAAACAGAGTAATTACAGTAGTTTACCACCACCCTAGTCAGTCATCTGATGTGACAGGGAAGCTAGAAAATCTCAATGAACTACTACTCTACCTTTCCTGTCCCTCCCTTGCATACTTACTTTCTGAGGGAAAAGGAAAAAAAACCCAAGACTTTAATCCATGGAAAAAAAAAGTTGAAGTTAGGAGGAGCTGATTTCTTTTGGGGTTAGGCCGAGTGGGATGAGACTTGAAAACCTTATGAGATGATGGAAAATCAATTACTTGGTGGTTAAGGCTGAAGTGATCAATGATTTGTATTAAAGAAGATCAGGAAATATGGTGATATGAACATGTGTGTTGATCTCGAGTGAAAAACAGTGACCTGTATATTATTAGGTATGAACAGAGTAATGCAGTAAAGACATATTTCAAAGGTGTTGTGTACTTAACTTGACAGTATAATGCTATGGAGTTTTTTATTATTAAAAAGTCTGAAAAAAATTTAAGATTACTGTAAGTAGATTGTGTGGGAGTATTTAATATAAAATGCAAAGAGAGACATAACTTAATCCCTAATTAAGGCTGTACATAATACAGGGTTGTTGCTATGGTTTCCTTGATTTGTAGCTATAGCAACAGCTTTGGAAAAACTGACTTTATGTACTGTAAACATACCATATTTGAAATATAAATAGTTGTGAAGTGTTGTACTATACTGGCCCATTATGTCTAGACACATTTTAGTTTGACTTTTGAGATATATCTGAAATAGATGTTTCTTCACATTGAAAATTTGTATCCAGTGCCTGTCATCCCACCCCAGAATAGAATGGGATCCCTTAGTAGCCCTCCATGATGGTGATCTCTTTTCCCTTTTCAATGTCCACATGTGAGGGGACTCCCTGAGATTTGCAAGAGACTATGGCTGCCTGTTTTGCAATATTGCTGTCTTGCTCAAGTACATTAATTTTGACCTTTCAGTGACAAGGTGCATGGGCAAGATGACCTTTCTGTCCCTTATTTCATCTACTTTGTACCTATGGATTTTTGGTGATAGGTCCAATGAAATCCATCTTTAAGAAATGTCACGCCTATCATGTGTTAGTTACTTTTATCCCACTCCTGGTATTTTTTCATAGAAAATATTACTTTGAAACAACTCCACAGTGGTTACCGAATTGAAATCTATTGTCATGTGAGTAAACTACGCCTCCCACCTCAAGCTGGTGTAATGATTCTTCTTGTGTATCAAAAATGGGCAAGCAGATAAAAGAAGCAGGTATAGAAAATATAACCTTCCTCCTTCTTTATTACTGCTTCTACTCTACAAAGAGTTCTGGTAAAATTAATGAACATCATGTATTTAAATTGCAGCATTATGACATCAATTTAAAACCCATTAGCAGTTTGAAACTATATGCTAGGCAAGTCTAATAGTGTTCCTGGATATTTGATTGTGCTTCCTGAAAGGTGAATATTGAATAGATTTTTACTCTACTGTCAGTATTAAAATAATATAGCATTTTCTTACATACGTAAAATCTGAAATATAGCTGCAATAACACTTGAAACATAATTATAAGAAGTATATTCAAGTGCTATACAAAGATTAAAACTGTTCTTGGAAAAGGGTAAGTTCTGAGATGACCTAAAATCCCTATGTTAAACTGCAACACAGAGATCTAATGGCTTCATCTAAAATGAATTCTGAGGGAGAGAAGACCCTTTGTGTCATGAACATTGAAGAATCTCACAGTATAGTGATGAGCACTAGATAAAAGAAACATGCATTGTAGCAGTTAACGCTTTTTTTAAAATCCAGTTGTAACTGAAAAACTCATCAATATTGTTGATACTGAAGAGATAAATTTGGATCATATTATCACTACCATTTTGTGCCATAACCTGAACAAACTAGTATACAAGCATTAATTGCTTACCAGTTGTGACACACACAGCCACAAACATGTGTGAACCTACAGCCTATGTCTAGTTTCTTTATTTTGTTTTTGCCAGAAGTTCTGTGGTAGAACTCAGTTTAAATGAGTGGAGGTTTCCACAAGTGAGATATCCTGGATATGAATAAAAATAGGAGGAGGCTACAGAGCTTATACATATTTCTGTAGTCTTTTTGCCTTTTTTTTTTTTTTAGCAGAATAAAGTAATTGCATTAAAAAAATCAGCACCTGAAGTATAGTAGAAAACTAACGTAACACGCAGAAATAGAGGCTATGTGGTGTGCTATCTGACTGCAAGATGAAGCACATACCATTTCAACAACAGCAAAAGCATAGTTGTCAAACCTGTTAGGAGTAATCATAGGAAGGACCTGTACCAACCATGAGAGACCATGTTCTTATAAAACTTGAATAACTAAATGAAAAAATGCACAAAGAAAGCAAAGAATGTGATGGGTGTTTTAATATTAGTTTCTTTCCAGATATGAAAAGTAAGAAAAAAATAAAAAAGGACTGAAATTTTTG